ATTATTATTTTTATTTTAAATAATAATTAATGTAAAATTAACAGAAATAATTTTAGAGAAACTTCCAAAATAAACTTCCTTAAATTTTTCAGGAAATTTACAGTCCTTTTTTCCAGGAAAATTACAATGATAATTTCCTACAAGTTAACAGCGGAAACTTTAAATCTTGAGACATATCAAGTTTCCTGGAAGTTTCCAGGAACTTAACACGACAAATTTCCGAACTTAACGTGGGAAACTTCCTGGAAACTTTCCGGAAAAAACTGTGCTATGTGGGTGTCGTATTTAAAATATGAAACAAATCTGTCGTCTGTAATTTATCTGTCAATAACTCGTAATAATACACAAAAGGTTATAGATTAATTTAAAGTTCAATTATTTATTTGTTAACAATTAAATTAATTATTAAATTATAAAATAATTATAATCTATTGAAATCATTATTAATTATTAAATAATTAATACTATACTGTCGTTACTAATTCGCTAATAAAAATTTATTTTTAAGTTTTCTCTGAAGCGAATTCACGGAAAGATCAGTCATTTGGTTTAAAGTTATTATTAGTAATTGTCGTTTAATTTTTCGTTAACAATTCGTTTATTTATGTATTTTTTAAATTTATTTATTTTTCAAATTTCGTCTGAATTAAAGGAACAGTCATTATCTTAGAGTACTGGACAAATAGATTTATCTATAATTCTAAGTCGATTAAAACCTTCATAACTCGAAAGTTTACACCTACACGAGTGTAAAAATGTGCGTCTGGCAGTTCTAGGGTGTGGCAAAGTACGTCTGGCAGCCCTTCGAAGATGCGGCAAATCGGTCAAGCGTTGTAAAAATATGTAAATTTTTCTCATTTCATACCGATTAAAACCTTCATAACTCGAAAGTTTACATCTACACGAGTGTAAAAATGTGCGTCTGGCAAAGGGTTAAACACGTAAAAAAAATCGAAAATTTTTTTTGATTTCATACCGATTAAAACCTTTAGAAATCGAAAGTTTACATTCAAACAAGTGTAAAAATACACGTCTGGCAGTTCTAGGGTGGGGCGAAGTACGTCTGGCAGCCCTTTGAAAATGCGGCAAATGGGTCAATAGGTGAAAAATAATGTAAATATTTCTCATTTCATACCGATTAAAACCTTTATAAAACGAAAGTTTACATCTACGCGAGTGTAAAAATGTACGTCTGGCAGTTCTGGGGTGGGGCAAAGTACGTCTGGCAGCCCTTCGAAGATGTAGATTTTTACATTTGTTTAAATGTAAACTTTCGATATATGATCGTTTTAATTGGTATGAAATGAGATTAAATTTTATGATTTTTTATGTGATTAACCCTTTGCCAGACGTACTTTGCCCCACCCTAGAACTGCCAGACGTACATTTTTACACTCGCGTAGATGTAAACTTTCGTTTTATAAAGGTTTTAATCGGTATGAAATGAGAAATATTTACATTATTTTTCACCTATTGACCCATTTGCCGCATTTTCAAAGGGCTGCCAGACGTACTTCGCCCCACCCTAGAACTGCCAGACGTGTATTTTTACACTTGTTTGAATGTAAACTTTCGATTTCTAAAGGTTTTAATCGGTATGAAATGAGAAAATTTTACATTATTTTTCACATATTCCCCCCCCCCCCCGCTGCCGCCCCCTGCCCCAGCACCGGCCTGCTAGACGTGGGTTTCTCTTATTTACATGTCTTTAGTAATCTATACTCAAATTTTTAGGCGGTATGAAATGAGATAGTTGTTTTGGTCGCTAGCTCCCGGACTATAATTGTTATATCTCTGCGATTCTTCTTGGAAGTTATTCAGTTAAGAATTGTTTACAGTCCAGGACACCTTAAAGATGAAAAATCAAGAGGTTTTAAATTTTTCCACACCTCCATTTTTAAAATACGGATTACTTTTGCAAATGACCGACAAAATGGGCCCTTTTCATTTTTCTAAAGAACCAATGAAATCAAACAGTTAAATTATCGATAAATTAATGAAAACCGCATGATTCGACTTGTCAAAACATGTAGAATGATAATAAAAAATAAAAAAAAATAAAGATTTTGCTCCAAAATTACTAAATTGCGATTATCTTGAAAACTAGAACCGACAATATGGGCCCTTTTCATGTAAACGTCCACATATAATGGAATGACTCACCATAGAATATTAATTTTATGGAACATGTAGGAATCCAACCAGGAACGTAAAAAGGGACAGTATTTTCTTATCTAACTACTGAATAAGACAACCTGTCAGGAAAATTGTAGGGTTCTTTTAAGCCTATAGACAGGGAAATTTGTTAATAAGGCAACCTTATATAGGAAGCTTACAAAAGCCGTAATGTTAATAAGGCTATTTACGTCAGTTTCTACATGGCTTGTCTCAAGTATAGATCAAAATAATTTTTTCCAAAATTTTCAAACATTTATATTTTCTTACGTAATAAATAATTACACCTTCCATAAAAGCATAGCAACTGATGCACTTACCCTATTATTTATACCCTGTTCTATCAGAGAATGCTGACATGAAAAGACGAACTTTCGTTCAGTTCGCGCAGATATGTAGTAAGAAAATTGACACTATTCGCTAAATTTTTTATTTTAGACGGACCATTTTCACTAAATAATGTGGCCAAGCCTTTTCCATACTTTAAATTCCTCAATTCAAGTTCAACTCTTCTCTGACACATTACATGTTTCGGCGACCCAAGTTTATGGCAGTAATTATAAAATGGGGTAATTACGGCAATAAAATATTTAAATATTAAAGTTAATAAATTTGTAACTCAGTATATGGGCGAATCTCTGGAACTTTTAACCTTTAAGTCCCTCACATTATTTTCACTTAAACATCCTAAATATAAAAACTAATGATTTTTAAATATTTACATGTTTTAAAAAAGAAAATAAGGATTACGATTTAACCATTGATATAAATTATTTTGTTTTTTTTCTATGTTTTTTTTATTAAAGTTCACAATACCATGATTTTGCAAGTGTCACTTTCACTTTTTCTAAAGGTATTTTAACTGTTTAAATAAAGTTTTTTTGGAAAACACGTTTTTTACTGTTATAAACTATTTAAAAATATCTTAAGAATTCCATAAACAAACTTAAAAAAAATAAAAAGTAAAAATTAGAAAAGATATAATCTTCTAAAAAGTGTCCCTCAGTTTTTGTGTCGCTGGTCAAATCAAAATGGTTTTATAAAATAAACATTAAAAAACTAAATGAAAAAATTTGAAATAAGAGGCACAATTATGAATTGTAATTCAAATTTTATGTGCGTGATTTTTATTTTTATTTTCAACTATATTTTAAGCAAAATAATTGTTGGATACTTGTGATACTGGTGTAGTACGGAAAATATGTCGCTGGTCAAATCATTAATTTCTCCAAAGTTTCTTATTTAATTTGCTCCAAAATTGGGGCACATATTACTTTAGATGTATTTAAAACTGTGCATATGTTTTTATTTATTCTAATTCTTATTTAATTATTTTTTTACGTGGATATTCAAATTGTCGCTCGTCAAATATGTAGCTTGGTCAAATCAATCGTTTTCCAATCAATCTGAAGTTTCGCATTTATTTGTTCCATGTTATTTATCACGAAGTAACCAAAAATGTAATAAAAAGTGGCAAAATGAAAGAAAATCAAAGAAAAGAAAATAAAAAGCGAGAAAAAGGAAACGCGGAATGAAAAATTTATCAACGGAAGGCACTTAAGTAATATTTATTTATTATTTATTAAACGTTCATAAAAATGTTAGTGTTTTTCAAGGTTATATTAAGATCCTCGATATTTTTTCAAAACAATTCAGCCAATCAAATAATTAGAAAAGTTCATGTTATATTTTGTCCTTATTAGTTGCATTAGACGTTTATTATATTTATTTTCATGTTTAATTATGTTTTTGTGATACTGAGAAATAACTTACTTAAGTGTAGGAGATAAAATGTTTATGTATATCTTGTTACAGATTTAGATAACCTAACATTATTTTCCTTCCAAAAATTTATATTTTAAAATAGAAGGCAACCAAATAATGGTTGTACAGTAATAAAAATGAAATTTATTTTGGTCGAAGATGTAATACTAAAAATATCAAAATTGTGCTCACAAAAATTTTTTTAAAAAAATTCAAATTCAAATGTTAAAGTTTTCAGAGATTTGCCCATATAACTCATTCTGCAGATTTCATTAATATGTAACTTTATTTTCTAACTATAATATTAAAGGTTTTTGTCCAACGACTTCGGGGAAATGGAGTCATTGTTCACTAGGCACCAGTAGAGAAATGTACTTCATTTCTCCACTGGCCGTTTGTCCAGTGGAGAAATGAGTGTGACTGAGAGAAGAATGAAGTTATTTGTATTATCATTTGTGTTTTGACTTACAATTCATTTATTTCTCTAATTCAAATATTGCTTTAAGGAAGTAACTAAGTAAGCAAGCAAATAATTAAGTAAGTAAGCAAGTAGGTAAGCAAGTAACGAACCAAGTGAGTAAGTAAGTACTTATTGCTTACTTACTTACTCACTTGCTTACTTGCTTAATTTTATTTACACGCTTATTTGGTTACTTACTTGCTTACTTGCTTATTTCACTCACTTGCTTACTTCAAGTAAGTAAGCAAGTAAGTAAAAATAACCAAATAAGTAAAAGTAAGCAAGTAAGTAACTCATTTGCTTACTTGCTTACTTTTACTTTCTTGATTACTCACTTGCTTACTTCAAGTAAGTAATCAAGAAAGTAAAAGTAAGCAAGTTGATTAAGTATTGATTTAAAGTAAAGTTTCATTCATATTCACATTTTACCTGCAGCGCTTTTGAATACATAAGGAGCTTTGTTTACTTCAAGAAAAGTTAGTTTTTAGATGAGGTATTACGATGTTTAAAAAAAGCGCGTCTGAAAACATTCTCTCGTGGAACAGAGTACATAGTTGATTTCATGGAAATATTTTGTTAATTAATAATTTTTTGTATTCAGGATTTGATTCATGAAAATGTTATGGAAAATATTCATCATGGTGGAAAAGTGTTTGCAGCCTTATTGGAATCTGGTAGAAAAATGTCGATTGAAGTTATTGAATTTGTTTTAAAAACTTTGACAGTTGATCTTACAAGTCACACCTTTAACAATAGTAACTTCTGTTTTTATTCTGTTTAATTTTTAAATTGTGACGCGATCTGAAGAAAGGGACCTTAGAAGCAAAACATTATAGGTTATGTTTGCAATTTTTTAATTGAAAATACAAAAAAAAGATCAACTGTCAATATAAATCATTGAAGTTTAAGTCTTCATTAAAACTAAAATATTTAATAAACACTGATTTTAATTCGAAATAAGTTAAAAGAAACTTTCAAACAAGAAAAAAGTAACTCTAACCCAACCTTAAAATGATTTGCTTCTAAGGTCCCTTTCTTCAGATCGCGTCACAATTATTATTAATTTTTGTTAATATTATTACTTTCTACAAGCTTTTGATAAATAAAAATACTTTTTAGGTAAAATTTTAGAAGTTGTCCTCAAGATAGCCGGAAATGTACCACTAGTTTTACCTCTCTCATTTAATGTTGTAAATAATTGTGCAAAAGGTTTGGTAAACGTAATAATAAAAGGAGATATAGACTTAACTTTAAAAGCACTACTTCTTCCAATGAGTGTCCTTATAATTCAACAGTCTCTAGATGCAAAAAATTTTAAAGGTATAATATTATTTTAAAATAGTTTCTTATCAATTTTTAATACAGCTTGGGGACAGCAACATGTCTGTTTAGTTAAGTAATGCAAAAAATAATTCTCTACCGACTTTTTAATCTAAGTTTCTAAAATTTATAATTACCCAAAGAAGTATTTCCGAAAAGGCAAATTTTTAATATATTTTTCCGAATTAAAATTTCCTAAACTTATTAATTTTTCCTAATTTTTAAATGATTTAAATTTATAATTCAAATGAAAGTAAAAAGAAGTATTGAAATTTTACTTAATTTGTTTGGTTAGCAAGCTTTAAAAAATAATAACGTTTATTTATTTATTTATTTAATCTAACATACATATATCAAACTTTCAAGATATTTAAAAGCTCTACCTGCTTCTAGTTTATAAGTTTTAAATTTTGCTTTATTTATTTATTTTATTAGAAATTAAATTTAAAGAACAATAATGTGTGCCTTAAGTTTGGAAATATTTAAAAGTTCTATTTTTTGTATTTTTTAAGAATATGATGACAGTCCTTGGGTCAGTGTTTTTGTTGCTTCTTGTCATTCAGTGATTTAAAGAATATATAAGTAAACAACTTATTAGTTTTTACATTTTCAGGTTTTTTTTATTTGCTATTATTAATGTTATTGCAAATATCGTTAATATAAATATGTACTTTCCTAATCACAAAAAATTTTTTTAATGTTTAAATTAAATTTTAACATGTTACATTATGTAACTGAGAATTTTGCCAATTGTACCAATGATAACCCTTTATTAATTTCATTTCACGAAAATATTTAAAGTTTAAATTAAATATGTTCCATTTTCAAAATTGAAAGTTATATAGGTTAAATTACTTGACAGAGAGCACTCTATAAATCCTAGTAGCTTATTGTTAACTTTTTTGAAACCCTCGCAAATGATCTTGATTTTTCGAGAATTAAAATTTTTCCCATGCATTTTACATGGGAAAATTGAAGTGCTTGGTGGCACTTGTTAATACCAATCAGCAATTAGAAATAACTGATATACCAGTTATTTATTCTACTGATTTTTAATCAATTAAGAGTTTTTTACTTGACTTAGCTGATTTAGCAGTCAAATAAAAAATGTTCACTGGTTCATCATTGAAAGTCTATGTTACTGATTAAAATAGTAAACTTTCCACTAATTCAATGAAGAGAGTAGGATATCCTGAAATAGTTGTTAGAGATGCCAGTTCAGACAAACAGTGAAAAACATGTCATTTGATTCTTGTCTTTTTATAACCAACATTTAATTTTATAATTATTTTCATTGCTTAACTGAAGTGGTATGTTATGATGTCCCAAAGCGACGATTTACGTATTAATTTTTAAGTACGTTTCACAATAGTTATTTGTGTTTAAAGTGCTTAAAAACAGCAACTTAGTCAAGTTTTTGACACAACCCGTTACAAAAAATGAATTTAATTACTCAATTGTATTTTCATTTTCTTAAATTTTTCAAACAGCTGCGCAGACTTTTATGAAGAACAATGAATTTCTAATAGCAATTTTTAACGATTGCTTTAATTCGGAAAATAGTACATTAATCGAGGTCAAATTTTCCATATTAGCAGGCTTACTTTCACTTCAAGAAAAATTAAGAATTAAGGTAAAAACACATAAATTTTTATAATACACTAAATAAAACTTTAATTGAATCAAGAAAACTTTACTTGTTGAAGTAATTAAAACGGGATTTCATAGGAAAGAATTTTCTTAATATGAGAAGCATAGGTTCGCTTTTTCGGTATGTTTTTATACCTTTCAAGCGTGGCTATAGTCAACGAAAAATAAGTATAGATAGTGTTATACTATTAAAGCTAGATTTTTCTAATTAATAATTTGAAATTAATTTTCTTCTTTAGTCAGGATCTCGTAAAATATATTTTCTATATAGAGAGAAATCAGTTTAATCAATTTGTAAAAATTTTATAAATTAAAGGACTACAAAGCTTCCTCCACGAGGAAGCAAAATTAATTAAAACACCTACAATTTTTATAATGTTCTCTATAATCGTTTAACATTTCCGCCCTACAATTTAAAAAGCGGCAAGTGATATTTTCGCTTAGGTCACAGCATTTATTTTGTAAACATACAGACAACAACCAAACTGACAATGTCACTGCAGTTTTTCTGTTACAGAGCAGATTTGCAATTTTAAAAAAATAATTATTTTGAACATAATTTCAAAAATAATTTTGAGTCACTTAAATATTAATTTTTTTTAAACCTCTACTCTTAATATTTTAGGGTGAAACAATAGCGCAAGTAAAGTTGAAGGACTTTAAAAACGTATGTGATAAGATAAAGATACAAAACCAGTCTTATGTTTGTTTTGTAACTTTCATAACGCAATTATTGTTGAACAATCAATTTGCATCACCACTGATTGAACTGCAAAGAAAAACTGAAGCTTTGCATTCGCAAAATATTCTCTACATTTATTACACGATTCACATTATTTCTAGTGAGGTAAATATAAAAGTTTACAATTTAATTAATGAATGATTTTTATAAATTATTAAGTTTCCTATGGTTTGTCTCTAGTTATCAAATTAACTATGCCAAAACGGTCAACATTCGATTTAGGAGAAAGGCTTGCAGGTTGCCATACCTAATCCGATGTTCGTTTTTGAAAATTTAAAATGGCTCATCTAAAACATTGGACATTTTTTTTAAATCCACCGGAAGTGCCTGTAAATCGTTAATAGGGGGTTTTCGAGGTCGCTGAATATTATCAATACACTGCAAGTTTTTAAAAATTCGAAATCGAACTCCCATCTGCAGACACTACGAAATATTCCAATAATAATTTAGACTTACAAAAAAATCTTAAAAAAGCCGTAACGTCTCACAAGAAATGATACGTAGTAGTTTCCAATATGATACTGAATACAACTCGAAACAAAATCGAATCGAGGTCAATGAGACAAATTCAACAATCCAATCCAATAAACTTTCTTTAGTAATTAAGTTCTTACCAATTCCAACATTCAATGTTAAAAATGAGCTTATCCCTCAATAGAACTGACTTTAAATGTACAACTTGGAATGCAAGCAGCCTCCTAAATAGAAAAATGCAATGTGACACATTAATATACCAAAACGATTTCGACTTGCTTTCTGTTACAGAGACATAGTTTTCAGAAAAAATAACAAATTCAACATTACATTTTTCAACTGTATTAGTTGTAACTGTAATAGTGCATCTCCGGGTGGTGGCACAACCATCTTTATACTCTTAAACTTGTATTATTCTAGTATTTATTACCATGCTTTGTCTTGTGTGACTTAAAAAAGGTTAGTTCAAAAATTGCTACAATAAGTTTTATCTACATTCACTGAAAAAAAAGTATGTTATAATGATACATGGTTGCCACAGAGCCTGGAAATCCTGGAAAACCTGGAAAAGGTATGGAATTTAGAAAAAGTTATGAAAAACTTGAATTTTTCCTGTTTTTAATCAAGTTTGCTCAAAATATAATATTTCATCTTCTGCTGATTATCGGCTGTGGTTACTTTTTATGAATTGTGAATTAAATTAATTTTGATGTCTTAAATAATTATTGGAATTGTTCTTGAAATAGTTTAGGACCAGTAAAAAATTTGTTGACTAATAATTGTTAATAAACAGAAAATAAAGTTCGCTCAAAAAAATATTTTTCATCTTCTGCTGATTATCGGCTATGGTTACTTTTTATTATATTGTCAATTAAAATTATTTTGATTAATTTTGCCTGTGTTTAAAGATTTTTAAGAAAATTTTAAGTTTAAATTAAAAAATGTTTTTATCTCATTGCCATATACAAATCTCTACGGAAGAAAAATTTTTGGTTTTTAATTCTTATTAAGTTTTTGGTATTTGGAAATTTAAAAAAATTTTAGAGCTAATGCTGTGTTATTAGGCCAGAAATTTTTTTAATTTTTGACTAAAATTTTATAAGTATTGACCTGGACACCATGGTAAAAGCCTGGAATTTTATATTTATCATTTTGTGGCAGCCATGAATGAGCATGAGTATTCCTTCCTACATTCGTAAACATGGTAAAGTGCATTACAGTAACACACTTTCAAGTGTGTACAGATGTGGGACATTAATGTATGCAGTTCAAGTGCATTGTAGTAACGTGTTTTTGTAGTGTTTCTTTTTAAATGATTCGCTGATTACAAATCTTTGATATGTTATGATAAAATCTGATCCTAACATATGCGCTACCGGGGCGGTAGTTTTTCTGGTTACTGTAAGCAGGAATTCTAGGTTAATTTGAAAAAGACCTAAGGTTGTTCAAACTATACTCTAAAACAAAATCACTAAAATCTGGTTGTATGAACAAGGGATTTCGTCCGATATCGATCACCTCAGCCCTAAGAAAAATAATGGAAAGAATGGTTCATGCCAGGCTGGAACACTTTTCGGTGTCAAGGGGTCTGATCTCCGGTTATCAATATTCCGGTTCCGAATGGAGCTCTCGGCGCTCAATTGTGTTTCGGTCTGGCTACGGACGTAATTAACAACTTCTCAATCATACGAAAAAAGTACGGTAGCGGTAGCATTGGATATTAAAGGCGCGTTCAACGCTCTACTTCCCTCAGCTGTTCTCAAACAGCTGCTATAGGATGATGTACCTGCTATACTATATTCAATATCCTTCACGATTACCAAAAGATCCCTATACTTTAAGGACGCTGCACGGTGGGAAATATTTAAAAGTACGCATAGGCGTAGCGAGCGATTTCTCCTCAACTTCCCCTCTTTTCGTCCCTCTTGGTGAAATTTTTTGACTTTGATAATTAATTAAAAAAAATCCAGATTGAAAATGAAAAAAAGGGCGATTTAGGGAAAAATAATATTTAATAGAGAATATTCAACAAGTTTTCTTATGACGATTAGATGTTTCTATGGGCGTGAATATCAATCCGCGTTTTCCAAAACATAGCAAACTGACAGCTCAATATGGGAGGTTAGCCATGGCCGACTATATCAGGTTGCACCGTTTGCGTAGTACAGTAGAAATGAACGTAAGGAACAAAAATATTAAATGTCAATTATACTCTCATTGTTTACTATTACATTTATTATTTGTTTATTTATTTATTATTGTTATTATATCTATTATTATTTATTATTTTACTTACTTTTTTAAAATATTATTATGGAAAAGTATTAAAACAATAAAGGAAAATTTTTTATGAAAAAATTATTAAACAAATAAAATTTCTAAACAAAAAAAAAGTAAATAATAAAAAATTATGAAATGTATAATTTTAAAAATTTTTAATGGTTATTTTTATTATTGATATTTTTAAGTATATGAAAAATCTAATTTAAATATTCCACAAAATTAGTTTTAAAGTAATTTTATATAAGGAATTCGACGGTCATAAAATAAAAGCGGACAGAAAATATTTTGACCCTTTTTCAATTATCATTTTTCTTAAAAATTGGTGGATTTCGAAACACACGCGTAATTTGGTAGAAAATATGTTTTTAAATCCATGAAAAGAATTCCAAATGAAATCGATGATTTTCATAATTACCTATAGAAGTATTGTTTTGAAAAAAATCTTTGTTTTTAAACTGAAAATTCTAAAAATAACATTGTTATTCAATTTTTCTATATGGAAAATTATTTGTTTACTTATTTAGTTTCTGATCAAAATTTAATCTTAATTTTTCTGTATTTCTATTTTTCATCAATAAAAATTATGATATGAAATTATTTAGAAAAATAAATGTCAAAAAATGCCCTTTTTTAATAAAAAAAAAAAGCTGCAATGTATTGAAAAAAGACGAAAATTTAATAATCTACTTCAAAAATTGTTAGAAAAAAATTGCAAACATCAACGTCGTTTTCTCAAGACAAAAATGGTTTTCATAATTGGAAATAAATTCTGAGTACCTCCGTGTTTCAGAAAAAGGACTTTTTTCATAAAAAAGATCCAATTTTATGACAAAAATTATGTTTAATAATATTTTCATAAAAAATTTACATTACTTTGTTTTATACTTTTCCATTATAATATTTCTAAAAAGTAAGAATAATAATAAATAATAATAGATAAATAAACAAATAAATATAATTATTTATATAATATTAAATAATAAAAGTAATGACTTATTATTTTTGTTGATCATCTACGTCCCTACATTACCATAGCGTAAATACTTTCAACACAAAAATGGTGCAACCTGTTATGGTCGGCAAAGGCCTACATCGAGCTGTTGCTTTGTTTTGTAAAACGCGGATTCATATTTACGCTCCTAGAAACATCTAAACGTCATAAGTAAGTTTGAATTATATTCTCTATTAAATATTATTTTTCCTTAAATCGCCCTTTTTTTCATTTTCTGTCTGAATTTTTCAAAATTAATTATCAAAGTCGACAACTTCCCCTCTTTTGGTGTAATTTTTTACTTTGATAATTAATTTTTAAAAATTCAGACAGAAAATGAAAAAAAGGGCGATTTAGGGAAAAATAATATTTATTAGAGAATATAAAACAAATTTTCTTATGACGATTAGATGTTTCTATGGGCGTAAATATCAATCCGCGTTTTACGAAACATATCAAACTGATAGCTCTATATGAGAAGTTGGACATGGCCGACCATAACAGGTTGCTCCGTTTGCGTGGTACAGTAGGAATGAACGTGAGGAACAAAAACATTAAATGTCAATTACTCTTATTGTTTACTATTATATTTATTATTTGTTTATTTATTTATTATTGTTATTATATCTATTATTATTTATTATTATACTTACTTTTTAAAAATATTATTATGGAAAATTATTAAAACAATAAAGGGAAATTTTTTATGAAAAAATTATTAAACGAATAAAACTACTAAACAAAAAAAAAAGTAAATAATAAAAAATTATGAAATGTATAATTTTTTAAATTATATTATTTATACAAATTTTTTTAAACAAAATTATTTCAAATACCAAGATTAACTTTTTTTAAAAAAAAAAATTAATAATAATAATTAATAATAAGTTTTAATTTAAAAATTAATACACTGGGAATAATATTGACACATTCAGAAAAAATAAATTTTAATGGATAATTTTTTTTTTATTATTTATCAACTATAGTTTATTTCTAAAAAAATTATACATTTTATAATTTTTTATTATTTACTCTTTTTTGTTTAGAAATTTTATTTGTTTAATAATTTTTTCATAAAAAATTTTCCTTTTATTGTTTTAATAATTTTCCATAATAATATTTTTAAAAAGTAAGTATAATAATAAATAATAATAGATATAATAACAATAATAAATAAATAAAAATAATAAATATAATAGTAAACAATAACAGGGTTCCTACAGAATCTGGAAATCATGGAAATGGTATGGAATTTTTAAAAGGCTTCTGGAAATCAGGGAAATAATGGAAAAGGCCTGGAACTTTTAAAAGTTTCTAAATTTTTTCTGTTTTCTATTTTTTCTCTTGAATAGAAATT